CGCTCTTCCTGTTTTCCAGTACAAAGAGATTGTGGGGTTGAAAGAGCCCTTTGATTGTGCTGTTTGCCTTTGTGAGTTCTCCGAAAAGGATAAGCTCAGATTGCTTCCTACGTGCAGCCATGCCTTCCACATCAGTTGCATTGACACTTGGCTCTTATCGAATTCGACATGTCCTCTTTGTAGAGGAACCCTCTTTGCGCCCGGGTATTCCATTGAAAACCCGATTTTCGATTTCGATGATTTTCGAGAAGAAGATGCGCGGTCGGGCAATGGCGGGTTGGTTTCATCTCAGAAGACTATGGAGATCGAAGAAACTGTTGTTGATAAGGGAGTTTTGCCCGTTAGACTAGGCAAATTCAGAAGGGTCAATGGCGAGTTAGGCGATTCGGGAGTTGGAGAGACCAGTAGCAGTAGATTGGATGCAAGAAGATGTTTCTCAATGGGGTCTTATCAGTATGTACTCGGCGATTCAGTCCTTCGAGTCGCCTTAGGCAACGATCAACAAGGCCGCGAAGTTAAGCCAACTAAAGGACCAGAAAATGGAAATAGTAATCCCAATGTTGATGGAGATTTGGAGGGAAAGAAGATTAGTAGTGTTAGTAGAGGTGAGAGCTATTCTGTTTCCAAGATCTGGCAATGGTCTAAGAAGGGAAAGTTTTCGACTTCAACGGATGCACAGATTGGTATGCCTTCTTCTCTCAATATGGACTTGCCATGGATGGAAAAGGCACAAGGCGTATGATTGACTATTATGAGAGGTACATTCTTTATTGTTTTTGTGGTTGATTAGCAATCTGAATCATCAAAGTTTGGAAGCAGGCTGGTTGGTTCAAGTTTTTTTTTCCCCACTTTCCTGTTGAAAAATTTTTGTGGTGCTGCTAATTCAGTAATTCTGATGATTGCTTTTGTGGCATTACTGTTTATGTACATCATAATCTTGTTCTCGTTGAAACCAGAAGGACACATCCTGTTCTCAGAGGGAGATTCTAATTTTAGGGAATGCCGGTCTAAGAGTAAGACATGTCTTGCTTAACCCAACTTGGGATTCTTGTATGAAAAATTTAATGATGTCTTTTGTGAACAATGACACAGAAATATCACTATGATTATATTGGTTGCTTAATACATATGTGGGTCGATCCCAATCTCTTCTCCATGGTCGCTTAACCCTTCTTGGCTTTGGCAGAAGGGGGGTCCAAAGCCTGTAGTGGATTGAAATGGTTTTGCTATTCTCGGCCACATGGGTGTAAAATGCTTGTAGCCAAATGTATTTAGCAGCCCATTAGGCATCAACGGTGCTCGGCACTATAACTCACAGTGGGCTGAGCTCCCGACAAGGGCTCATAATGCTCGCACCGCACTACAACCCACAATAGACCAAGTTTTGAACATGGACTCGTGGTGCTTGACACTACAACTCAGTATGCTCAAGTTCTTAACTTAGGCTCGGACCCTATCCTATTGGTGGTCTCTATTACTTTTCGAATGTGTTTATTCAAAAGATTTTTTTTTTTTTTTAGTATCTCTGGTCTTGAATATCATTCCTGTTGTGGTGATTCTAGTGAGCTCTTGAAAGATTTTTTTTTTTAGTATCTCTGGTCTTGAATATCATTCCTGTTGTGGTGATTCTAGTGAGCTCTTGAAAGATTTTTTTTTTTAGTATCTCTAGTCTTGAATAGTACATGTAGTGGTAAACAAACATCTTGGTACCAAATACATTAGTCTTTTACTTCACATTGTATGATGTGAACTATGATAAACATGATGGTCACTAGACAGAACATCTCAACGGTTGATTGGTAGGGTCCACAACCAATGCAAAGTGCATGCCTAATGAAGGATGGCACATGGGAACGTCCTGTAATCGAAAGAGCTTTCCATCATTTAGTAAAGATTCGTAAATAAATATGTTAGTCTTCTTTGTTTTTTCCCCCCCTTCATTCATGTTTAAAGTTTCTCAATCTCACTCTGAAACTTTTTTTTTTTTTTTTTTTTTTTTTTTCCAATCAATCGAATTTAGCCCGTTGTTTCTCATCTCATCATTCATATACAGTAGTCAACACGAACTATACAAGTATACAGCAATGATTTCAAGCAAAGATCTCATCTTTCAGGTTTACAAATCCTGATCTTCAAAAGCAGACAATTATCCTTGTCAAAAGGTCAAAATTTGTAAAAGGAATTAAAGTTATCTCCATGATCCACGGCAGGAGTGCTTTTGCTTTTCTCGCCTTTAGCATTGAGCCTTTTGATCCCTCCTTATATTGGAGCTTTTTTACGCGTCCTCATTAATTGTGCATGTTTTTAAATGTTAAGGGCCCATTTAAAGTGACTTAAAAAAAAAATTGCTTTTAATTTAGCTAGTTTAAAAATCACATTTGAATCTATTTGGATGAATAATTTTTTAAAGTTTTTTTAATTTTTTTAAGCATTTTTAGAACTTGACATTTCTTTAGGCCTCGTTCATTTTACCGATTCGAGTTTTCAGTTTTAGATTTCTACAGTAAAAAGCTCTTAGAAAATATCACATATAACTTTTTCTACTACAGTAAAAAACTCTCAAAAAATGTCACATCTCAGCTCAAATTGAAAACTTAAATTCGTGAAGTGAAGGAGGCCTTAGTGTTTATGAAAAGTTTTTTTATTTATATTTTTAGTATTTTTTTTATGAACAACAAGTATCTCATCTATATATTTTTATTATATTACTTTTTATAATAATTAGTATTTTTAATTTATTTACCTAAACAGATTCAAAAATTCTTCTTAGATATAAAAATACTTTTTCAGACACTATCTAAATGCTCATTAAAAATTTTTAACTTATGATTATCTTCTTTTACTACTTAAAAATACGAACACAAATTATCTCAAATGGAATCTTAAACTTGGTCAGAAGTACATCAGTATTATAGAATCTAATACGAACTTGACGGTTTAAGAAAAATCTTACAGGCAAGTATTTGAAATATATATATTTAAGGGAACCTTTTTGGGATAATGTGAGTACTGTGGTTGTTATGCAGATGGATCATTTGGGTTGCTCAGTTGGGCAGTCATGGTGGGATCCATGAAAGCCCTGTGAGAGAATCTTTCAAACACTCGTGACCTTTGATTTAAACAAGGGCTGTAGTTTTTTTATGCTGTGGGATCTCGTCTTTACCTTTCCCATGTGAGCATGTAAAAATCTATCCTTAAAATAATAATCCTTCCATAATTTTAAAGAAAAATATTAGTGTCATTTTTTGTCACCCTTTTCGTCATTTTTTAACATTTAATATTTAATATGTGAATTTTATTAATATAATATATTATTATTTTAATGAAAAATCAAATAATGGAGTTCATATGTTAAAAAATGAACAGAAAAAATGATATTAACATTTCTTAATTTTAAAATGGTAAACTTTAATCTAGCAAATTCTGAGTATGCACAAATCTGTAGGTTAGTCTGGTCTAAAGGGCGAAGCGTATTTAGAATAAGATCCTTCTTTTAAAGTTCCATTAATTTGATTTACTCATCTAATCTTTTTCCCTTCTTTAAAGGAAAAAAAAATGGTTACTTGAGTAGTAAATAAAATGGTTACTTACCCTTTTTGAGTTAGGTGATTTGAGTGTAAATTTTGAGTTGAGTTTGAGTTATAATTTGAGTTAAAGTTGTAACTTGAGTTTGTATTTGGTTGTGTACATTTGAGTTATGGTTTGAGATAAAAATCTTTTTTAGGTTGTGTTTAAGTGAGTCAAAACTTGAATTTGTATTTAGATAGTATTTTAATAAAAACTAAATGCTGATGGAAAATTTTAATAGGGTATATGAGTGGGGTTTTATTCGTCTTTTCGTTGTCAACGCATAGAAAAAAAATCATCTCAATCATAATTAAAACGAAAAAATTATAGCATTTTTAATAATAGAAAAAATATTATTCATTAATTTGAATTCGAGTTTCTGAACTTGAGTTAAAGGAAAAACTTGAACTCGAGTTTTAGTCCTAAACTCGAGTTTAAACTTAAAAGAACATGAACTTAAAAAAAAATTGTAACTCAAATTACCTTTTTTAAATTTTTAACTCAAAAAATAGGTTGCCGAACAGCTATAAGACTTAGAATCATTTTTTATTTACGTGTATTTTTTGTGAGAAAAAATACTATAACGAATCACAAATTATGATTCAAATCGGGATACGAATCCTCTAAACAAATAATCCCTTAAATAATAAAGGAGGTTTGGCGGGATACACTCAAGACGCATACTTTTTTGGCAATTTTCCCAAGCATTATTGTTCCTTTTACTTTTATTATTTTATTTTCTTTTTTCTGCATGGATTGACTTTGTTGTCTGATTTTAAAAATCCTTTAAAGTGGGTTAGTCGGTGAATGAGGCAGACAGTCTGTTACCAAAACCCACCAAGGAAATGCCAATTTTATTTTTGTATTATTTTATTATTTATTTATTTTTGCTAAAGCGCCAAATAAATAGAGATTTCATGGAAAGAAGAAATGATGTGTGTCCTCTTAAAAATCCCTTAAAAAAACAAAACAAAAAACAAAAAAACAAAAAAACTAGCACGCGCTTACGAGTCAATCATAAATTTAAGTTTAGGGCTCCACGTTCCTCCTGATGTGAATTCAAAAATAAAAAATAAAAAAAATAGGATAAGGCACTTTTGTCCCTTGCAAACTAAAATTGGGGGAAATCTAACGATTAACGAATACTCACGTTAGGAAGGATAAAGATTTGTGTACTTTTTCAAAAGCAATAAAATTACTACCTTTCTGTATTTTATATTTTTTAAGACACTTTCTCTCTTTGTATGATAATAATTTAGAGATGGTAATTCGTGTCACGTATTGTGTTCGTATCGTGTTTTAATTATTATTTTTTTAATTTACAGTCAACCCAAACACGATCTGTGACACAAAATTTTTAAAAAACCGCAACACGATCACTTTACGGGTTAGCACGACACGAAAATGACCTGTGACACAAAATTGACTCTTGAACTCAAAATTGACACGAAAATTGTATACTTTTATTTGGTTTTTTACATATTAGAAATAACGAAAAATTCATAACACACTAAAATACAATAACATCTATTGAAATTAAGCAAATAATAGTATAAGATTTTGAGTATAACTATCATGATATAACAAGTTAATTATAAAATCAAACATATGTAATGAAAAATATATGTATTTTTTAGTTTTTTACAAGTTTTGTATCGTGTTCGGGTTCGGCGGGTCCAACCCAAAATTGATCCGTGTTTTTCGTGTCAATTTCAGGTCGACCTAATTCTGATCTGAACCTCTTTTTTCTCAACCTTAACCCGTGAAATTCGTGTCGCTTTCGAGTCGTGTTGTCGTGTCGTGACCCATATTACCGGTCCTAAATTAATAACTTAAAATTGACAGAATTCTGAGAATATGTCAGAAAATTAAAGAAATCGATTAAAGGACATATTTTCTAATTTTGTCCTCGAAAATAATCTCCCTTGTAGAACATCCGTCACGATTTTGCAGGAAAGTATGTTTTCGGTAGTTGGCTGGTACTCTGTTATAGTCTAGGCCCAACCCAGTTGGCAACATGGGGCAGGCTTTAGCCCAGTTTTCATCCCAAAATGAAAGAGACCTCTTGAGCCGAAATCAATCAGAATCTCATCCAAAAAGAGACAAACCAAAATGAAAAGAAAAAGCTGCTTTCAGTTCAAAAATAAAAAGAGAGAGAGAGAGTGAGAATCATATAGATTTTTCGTGGCCCAGCTCTTCAATTAAAGTAAAGTAAGACCCGTTCATTTCGCTGATTTGAGTTTAGAATTCGAGTTTTTCTACAGTAAAAAGCTCTCACAAACAATCACATCTAACTTTTTTATTACAGTAAAAAGTTCTCATATAAAATCACATCTCAACTCGAATTCTAAACTCGAATCAGCGAAGTGAACGGGGCCTAATTTGACACGTATGAACTTTATTATAGTTTGGGTGATTTCAAGCTAAATTAATCAGTTTCCAACTGTCAAAGAACTTCAAAATCTTGGCCTGCTTAAGGATGGAGTCAGCTAGCTTTATATGAACCATTATTGAGTTCTTGCTAATGCTGCTTTTCCTTCTTTTTATTTTTTTTTATGCTTAATATCAGAGTAGATATCGACTAAGGAAAATGAACTGCTCCTTGTATGCTCTTTTAAAAATAAAAAATAAAAATAAAAAGCTCAAAATTCTTCTTTAAAAATAAAAAGCATCTTTAATGAATGATTAGCGGTGATAGATGACCAAAACAAAGTAGAGATTGGACATAAATCAATAAATCCGTGGACTTGAAGAAGCGGGCCTTTGTTGAATTTCGCCTGTATGGGAACCAAAATGCCCATTTTCATGCTTCTTGCTCATTACTCCTTAGTGACCTTGGTGCTTGTCTACTCTTTCTTTGCTACCACAAGTCCTTCCTAAACAATGTTATAGGACACTAATGATGTTAAATATTATCCTCTTATGAGAGTCTCGTGGGATCCACAAGGAAGTTCACTTAGTAGACGTTTGGTTCACAAGTTCAGAATTATTCTCGGTTTACGTGTATTTTTTGTGAGAAAAATACGGTAACGAACCACGAACTATGATTCGAACCACGACACGAATCCTCATACCAAACACAAACTTACTATTAATGACGGTGCCCTTAAACATTTTTCATTCTTTCCACCATCATCTTGGCTTGGCACTAATGACAACACAAAAGTTTGACAAAACCTTATATATCAATCTCTGTAAGAGCAATAACTAGCATTTTTCAAAGAAAAATATGTATAGTTCCAAAAGAAGAGCTAAAAACCGCGAAGAAAGCTTTGAAGAGATGATCAGAAGATTATCATCGTATGAGAAAATCAGGAAAAAAAAAAAAAAAAAGCAGTCCCATGAAAATTTTCACTTGAAACAATCAATTCCCAAATCTTTTAATTTCTAATGTCGTTTAGACAAGACCTCCTATACATTATTACACAACAACAATGTTCAATCTCTAATTTCTTTTCCCTTTTACTTTCATCCACCGGACAAAAGAAGTAAAACAATTATAAATTCCAATAAAATGAAAAAAAAAAGTAAAAAAAAAAATTCCTGAGTGGTCCGACCAACCAACCATCCTTCCACGTCAGCAGACAAAAAGGTCAACGGCCGCCGCCCATAGCGCAACGATCACTCTCCGCAAAACTCGCCACTGCCACTCCACGCCGAGCCGGCCAAAAAAAAAAAAAGAAAAACGAACAAAAACAACTCCGACAGCCACAGCCAGATCACGTGACACTCACGCGAATGACGGCCCTTGGCCTTCTCTCCCGAAATCCATCAATGGCTTCGCCGACGCCGGCACCGACGCGTATCGGCTGGAGAAGTCTCGGCGGACGAAGTTGACGTCGTCGGCGCCGCTCTGTCCCGGCCCTTCGTCGAAGTTGAGCGAATAGCTGAGCTCGTCGTAGCGGAACTTCCCGCCCTCCTTGTACCCGAACCCGCGGTGGTTCCTGTTGAACCGTCGGATGAACGTCTTCCACTTCGGACCGGCGACGATCTCCGACCACTCCCGTACCTTCTTCCACCCCCGGCTCCACCACGGATCGTCGTTCTCCGCCGGCCGCATCCGCTGCCACCAGATCGATCCCGCGGCCGGCGACCGGTCTGGCCTCCCGAAGCAAGGGATCCACAAGCAGCAACCTCTCTTGGCTAACATCATCTCCTGAACGTCGTCATTTAAGTTCATATTAATCTCTCGCGGCGAATGCGATATCGATGATGATATCTCCGCCGCCATCGAAATTAGGGATTTGCAAGAAATAGAAGAAGAAGAAGAAAGAGGAGAAAAAAGATTTCTTTTCTTTCTTTCTTGTTCTCTTTCTGCAAAATCGTTTGTCCTAATTCTCTCGAGAGGTTTCTAAAGGTTTTTTTTTTTTTTTTTCTCTCTCTTTGTGATGTGATGAGATGATCAACAGATGTTGGAAATGGAGGAGTTTTTCAATGTAACGGAAACCTCGCTGTGCGTGAACTAAAAATTACCAGAAAATGCCGTTTTAGCCAGATGTCGGTGACGTGGACCTTTATTTATTGTGTTTTGCCTTGTAAGACCCAGCTCATTTATTTCAGTGCTCAATAATACTTTTTAAACTATTTTCTAAAGGAAGTTTGTTGTGATTCCACAGTGGTCTAACACTTTATTTGTTTCTTTTGATCTGAATTATATGCGTTAAATATAACCGTTTGATTTATAGATTAGAATAATGTGATTAAAATTATTTTTAATTTATGTGTATTTTTAATGAGAAAAAATATTGTAATGAACCACGAATTATAATTTAAATTAAGAAACGAATCTCCCAATCAAACAACCTCTTAGTTTGCTTTCATTTTCGTTCAATAATGGTACTCGCTTAGATTTGAGGTTAAATAAATTGTTCCTAGAAACATTTTTTTTTTTTTTTAATAACATTCCTAGAAAGCAAATTAGCAATGCTGCAATGGGGTACAGATTATTTATTTATTTATTTATTTTTTAAAAAAACACCCAGTCACTCACACACAACACACAAAGTGGATGTATTATGGAGTTCCTTAGAGAGAGTTATCTCGCGTCTCTAGGCATTCTCTACCTACCCACCTTAGTTGATTTCGGGTACAAGTACTATTTTGTTCATGAAGATCGTTCGAGCATTTGTTACTATAACCTTTTCGACCACGATTTTTTTTTCTTTTAGGTTTCTCGCCTCAAAATAAGAAATTGTATTATAATTGATAATATTATTTCAAAAAATATATATTTAATTTACAAATATTTTAGTTTTTTCTTAAATATGAAATCTTTTTTTGTTCTCATGTTCCAGTGGCACATTTAAATTCAGTGTTTGGATAAGATGCTTACTCTTTCACACATCTCATTGAAGGCTTTGTTGACTTTTCGTAAGCTTGGGTTAGGCATATTGGCGTGGATATAAGGGGTTGTTTAGTTGGGAGATTTGTACCTCGATTTGAATTATAGTTCATGATTTGTTATAGTATTTTCTCTCATAAAAAATACACATAAATCGAAAATAATTCTAATCTCATGATTTTAATTCATGAACTAAACGTCTCCTAATTGTCGGTGGTGGTATATTTACTCGATTGGTAATGATCGTTACTTTCATCCTTCCGTTTTTGATTTGGACAATTAACCCTTCAAACATTTTTAATCCTGCTATACATCTTGTGGTCTTTTCAATCAAAATAACTGCAGCTACAGTCTTGGTGATGCTGTAGAACACTATTAACCCACTCTTCAAAAAAATTCCAAAAAAAAAAAACATAGAAAAAATATATATATATTTTTAGTGGAAATGAACTTGTATTAACTATTAATGGATGAAAATCAAACTGGCACTTACAGTTGAAGAGATACATTTATGGTCCGTTTAGTTCGTTGATTTAAGTTTTTAATTTGAGTTGAGATGTGATTTTATGTGAGAGTTTTCTACTGTAGTAAAAAAGTTAGATGTGACTGTTTCTGATAATTTTTTACTGTAGTAAAACTTGAATCGGTGAAATGAACGAGGTCTTAGATACTTCTTGTAACGAGAACACATCAAAGTATTTAAAGTGAATTGTGCAATTGTGTAGACAGCTACATTAATACGATGAGATACATAACAACAATTACAATCGTCTTCTTCCAACATCAAAGTTTCAATCTTACATCAAAGTTTTCGCACCCATAGAACTCGTACCTTGGATTGTCGTTCATGATCCACAATGTGAAAAATCTTGGTCTACCTCCTACATTATCAAAGTGGGTTTTCTTCTTGTAATATTGCCCTCCAAACACACCAGTTTCTCATACAACGTACAGTTCTCCCACATACGTACTTCCCACAAAACCCTAACTCCATAGCCTCCAATATCTTAACTTCCCTCCATTTTGAACAAACCTAGATTCTACGCTCACGTGACACTCACGTGCAGAAAACCGCGAGATTTTACGCCTTTGTTTGCCATTGGACTTTAATTGCATAAGAGCTTGAGGAGTTACTTGATTAAATTAAAGTTCGGAAACCAAAAGGATGGTTATTGAACAATTTTGGGACCAATCGAGCAAAATATTATCCTCTTAATAATCCATGTATTCCTCTTCGATTTTCAACCAATTTATTATAAATCCATTGTTTTTGTTTTCCTGAAATATAAATCGAGTTGTTTGGTTGGTTGGCTTGCAATTATTATAAATTAATTCAATTTCAATTAATTCCATTTTTTTTTCTTTTTCGCTGAAATATAAATAGATTAGTTGGCTGGCATGCAATTATCATAGGCGAATATTCACTTTCATTTCAGTATGGGATATAATCATGTCAATAACATTAACATTATCCAGTTTTTATAACTCTTGATAGGTGTGAGAAATATTAAATAAATACCTTATAGTTTTAATCTGCATCACAATAATGTTTTTATTTGTAATCCAGATGATCCTTCGTGCAAAATGAAAACATTTTCCTCTCTTAAGTTCCAAAAATCAATTTTCTACAAAGAAACGAGGAATTGAAAAGTTCATTTTTGACCAAAATAAGTCACCCTAATTTTTTGCTCCTCTTCCACTAGCATAAATTGTCAACATGTTGACACCAATTAAAACAAAAAATTGAAAAAAAAAAAAAAAAACTATACTATACTGTACTTTTTTTTTTAGTATTGGATAGATTCTACAAAAGTCCAAACAAACTCAACATGTAAACGTACTAAGATTGTAGACTTTCACGTAGCAAGCAGACAAAAATGAAGCGTTCCTAAAATTTCTTTACACTTGACGCAAGCAAAGAGGAAAAAAAAATTATCATCAACGAATATCTTAGACTAAAATTTTCTAAATTCAAATTTGTCAAGATCTAGCTATCTCCTTCTTCTAAATTTCTCTTCTAGATTATCGTTCCAATATACGTTCAACTTTACTTTCTCATGGACATGAATTTCTTGCCTGCTTCCTAACTAGTTAGTTCCCATAAAAAAAAAAAAAAAAAATCTTAAACGTGAGAGAAACGGCATTTTCATAATAACCAAGAAATCTTTTGCTATAAATACCCAAGCCAATCTAACGTATTCTTCATCAACTCAAAAGCATTTTATTGTTCAGTCTCAGTTAACACATAGTTATACTTACCGCAGTCATGGCCAGAGAAATCAAATCCCACGGTTTGCTTATGATGGCCCTTCTTTTGAGTGTCGTTTTGCTTTTCTCTGTCGTTCAAGCTCGCCCACTATGTGATGTTCAAGTTTGTGGTCAGGACCACGCCGCTTCTCACTACTTTGTGGACGTTCTGGGTCTTTGGGGAATGAAATCCTCTGGCCCAAGTCCTCATGGGACAGGCCATTAGTTGGCCCAAGTTGTTTTTAGTCGGCTTTGAATTACAGAGGAAACTTGTCATATGAAGTTTTAAGTCTAGAAAATAACACCTCTGTTATAAAGGGAGGATTTCAATCCTTGTATAGGATACAAATACAGGTGAAATATTTTGATGGGTTGTTTATTGTACAAGAATTCCTAAATTGCATCACAGAAGTTTCAATGCTTTCGTTATTTTGTCTGTCCATATTTTTGTTTCTACAAAAGCTGTAGCAGCATGAAAAACTTGTGCATGAATGCCGCACTAAATGAGAATCATTCAGTAGGATACGAAAAAAAAAAAAAAACACGGTTTAATATTGTGTTTGGATTGACGATTGTCGATATCTTAATTACGTTATGTCGAGTTTACATATTTTTTTCACGTTCAGTATGATGTGTTAAAATTTAATTTTTTTAAAAATAAGATACACATAAATGAGACAGCAAATCTTGATTCGTCAAGCTTAGTCATTCTTTTTAAGATTATCATTTTAACAATTTCTCGATAGTGGGTAAGTCTAAATTTAAGATGAGCAATTAAAAAGGAGAAAAAGAATCTTTTAGGGAAACTAAAAAAAAAAAAAAAAGACTAAATTAAACATCATTATCAGGCTATCAGGAGGTCTTTGTAAAAATAACTCAATAGAAAAGTTTTATTAGTAAAATAACTTTTTAAAAATTTTTATTTGTAAAATGACGACTTTTTACAAAGAATGATTAAGTGATCATTCTTCATAAAAAAATAAAAAAAATCATTTTACTTATTTCACTTTATTGGATAATTATTCTAGCATATTTCTCGGCTATCAGTCCAAAAGTGCGTGCTTCAATTTGGGAAGCCAAATGATAAAAACATGCCTTTTTAGGTGGTCGTGCCAAATGAGATAATATGCAGGATCAAGGACCAATATTGATTTTTGGGCAAGAGGATTTTGTAATCTGATAGGAATTCAACGGATAAGCAGATGAGATGGCGGAAATCATGCATGTAATGGGCACGTTGGTAACCGGAATCATCTGTCGAGCCTGCAAACAGACTTGGGAATTCTATCTTATATACAGCTATGGAGGCGTACTTTCTCCGCTATTCATGCTTTACGAATTCCAACTCAATATCTCTTTGGGAACAGTTCTCTAGAGTTGGAATTTGCCTCTCAAGATTGATACTTTTGTAAGTTTTATAAGATAAGATTTATTGACCCATTAAGCGTTTTTCTCCTCCTAAACGGTCGATCTAAAAAATATACAAGTTTTGTTAAAATTTGGTAAACGTTTTGAGTACCAAGACATATTTTTTTTGTCCAGTTGCTGATAAAAAAAAAAGATCACTAAAACCATCCCGACCTCCATCTCCATCATCTATAGAAAAAGTCTTGATCGATTTACAATTAGAATGAAAAGAACCTAACTTAATTTAATTCTAATCATGTGTCCAACGCTACATGGCCCATTGGCTAGGCGAGAACCTTCTATATTTGACTGTCTAGATTTGAACTAGAGGATATCCTGGATGAGAAGAAAAAAAGACATCCCTACCAAACGATTAGATTGGTGGTCATCTGAGTACTAAATTGTTTCTCTTGATTTCTAAATATAGAAAATACATTCCAGCTCAATATGTACTTTCTTACATTTCCCTCTGTGGAGGGAAAAACTTTGTAGAACAAACAAATTCCCTAAGAAAAAAGAAAAGAGGAAATACAAGAAGCAGTAGAAGGCCCAACTCCTACGTCCACTTCCTCAATGAAAGATCAATGGCCATGGGATTGGGAATAGCCCATGTAGTTAAGTCGAGGTCGAATGTTGTGGTGGTTATGAAGAGGATCTCCATAGTCTACCGCCTTTATAACTACCGCTTCGCGCCGACCATCCTGCTCTTGAACCGCCCCAAACACAATCTCGTTCGTCTCACAACTTTTCTCATAGTAAGTCTTTGGGCTTGCTGAGTAATGCCTGTGGTGATGCTGCTGCTGCTGCTGCTGCTGTTGCTGCTGCTGCTGCTGTTGCATCTGATGCTGTTGCTGTTGATGCACATATTCGCCATCCCATCCGCTACAATAAGCCCGGCTCTGCTTAACATGGTGGCTCTTTTCCAGTTCTTTGCTCATGAATGGATAGCTTCTCTTTGGTGTCGGGGTTCTCGTGTCTAGTGATGGAGGAGGCTCATATTCATCTGGAATTACAAAGCTTTCTTGCATGGGCCATGCATTAGAGTATTTGTTTGCTTGGTGATACTGCTGCTGAAGTTGATAATGCCGGGGTTTCCTTCTAAATCCCGTAAACACCCCCCCAAAGATTTCAGCCACAGATGATCCAGTGTTGACGAAAAGCCTCCCAAGTGAACCAAAGAATCCCTCTTCTTGTCTATCGGTTTCGTCTTCGGTTGGAATTAATGAGGGCCCTACAGATTTAGAAAGCTTCTGATATGGTGCCATTGGCATGCCCGTCTTCATAGGAGCTCTTACATCCTGAAAAATAGAAATAGGCAGTCAAACCATTAAGAGACAAAGAAACCAAAACATAGAGAAGAATACCAAAACGTAGAGAAGAATTTGAATTTCTCTCAATTCGTGTGGATCAAAATTTAGTACCTTCTGAGAAAAATATATCTTAGTTCTTGAATTTGGATAATGTTGGGAATTTCTATTGGGAACCTGAGATAGGTAACTTACGTCTTCCGAAGAAAACATTGCTCGCACCCGACGCTGAAGCAGTGCCAACATGTAACCGAAGAATGCAGCTGCAACTAGCATTGCTATTCCTGCAACGACAGGAGTGTATTATATATGTTCATGATGATATAAAATTGAGTTTATTGGACTGAAGATTTTCTATTTAGCGTACCTAAGTGAAAACTACTGTCATATTGATAAGAACAATCTTCGTAATTGAGTTGGATTTCTCGAATTGCCTGGTTTCCCCTGTCTATAACCAAAAGAGAGCACCTACTCGCAAGATAAATGACATCAAAGTCATCCGAAAACTTCGCATCTTCACTAGGACCATCAACATGGTCACCTCCACGGCCCCATTTTCCACCAGCAATAGTTGAAACCCCTGCAGAAAGAAGAGTTATGTTCGAAATTAGTTTAATTATCTAACCCGAAAACCCAACACTTCATTTTGAAGGCTAGTTGATGATAATTTAAAGCAAAATCTGGTGGAACACAACCCAAATTGTCATCCAAAAAGTTAACTGGTCGTGTAATTTTTCTTTTTTTGTTTTCCAATATTACAACTTAACATAAAGATTGGAACAGAAATGTGTACAGGATTACAGATTTACCTGCATCAGTTATCTTCCTGATAGCCATGTTCATCGTGTCAGCAACGTAAATATTTCCTCTGTCATCCGCTGTCATCCCTTTTGGATGATTCATTCTTGCTTCTCTAGGCTTACCATCGACGTGTCCGGTGTACCCTTCAGGTGATCCAGCAACTAGTCTAGGCCTGCTATCTGTAAGACATTGATTTTGCTCAGCATGAGGGCAACGGAAGATTCTAGAGATATAGTTCTAATGAACACAAAGAATTATATCAGGAAACTAGACAAGTGAATAGAGATAAGCTAAGTTATTCCATTTTCCTATCAAATAAAAACTCAAATTTAATGACAAACTAACTGATTTTAGTAAAAAAAAACATAAAAAGTTAAAATAATAGGCCTAAGTTTCTTATATTTTCTTTTTAAGATATCAAATGAAGTTTCCCACGTTGAAGTACATCTAAGTCCGGATAAAGAAAAATAAAGAGCTATAAAAGAAGTAAATGATAAGTCCAAGTTCCAACTGGTTATTAGAAAATCTCTCTCTTCAAGAATTTAGAAGAAAAAGAAAAAGAAGCATAAAGTTAGAAACTCAACAAAAAGGCAAATGTTGTACTTCAAAAAGTGGTGTCTTCAACTAAACAAAAGCTACTTGTACACCTTTTTTTTTTTTTTTTTTTTTTTTTAATTTAAAATTTTTGAAGCAAGAGCTTAACAAGAAAAGCAAGGAATCAAGACTAGTCTTAAACACAAAGCTGATTCCTTGAACAATGTTTATCCCCAAAAGCAAGTTTCTATAATCAAGGACTGGAATTATCCAGAAGAACAACTAGCTTACATCGAGACAAAGGCGTTGAGACCTTGTAGATGTTACTGTTCTCAGAATCCAAAACCAAAAGCTGCCCAGTTGGGGACACTTCAACTGAGTAAGGTTCTATTCCCAGCTTACTTCCATCAAAAACTGTTTCCACCGTATACCCACTCTCAAATTTCATCATGGAACGGCTAGAAGAAATTGCTGTAAATTTTTGAACCATTAAAAAAAAAAAAAAAAAACTTCATCAACCTCATTTCCACATAATAAAGAGACCAAAAGATGAACTTGATACACATGAAATGGAAAAGGGTTAAAGTAAGTAGAGGAAGATCTATAAAAATACCAGTTTGGGTGGTAGATTTCAGCGACCAGAGCCACTTAACTATAGCCGAGACCACATTTGAAACAACCCCACTAACAATTTCTGCATTTTAGACGAACCCAGTTAATCAAATGAGGAAATTTGCGGATCAAAATGCAAACTTAGGAGAGAAATGCATGATCTCGGTTGTACTTACTCACAGGAGGCGTGGCAGCAGCCGAAGAAGCATTTGGAGCAGAGAGAAGCACGAGAATGAGAAGAAGCAAAGCAATCCAACTCCGCACCACCATTGTTGGTTCTCTTCACGGAAGGAGATACATTAGGTTAGAGAGCAGAAAATTGCTCAAACGAAAGATTCGAAGCACGGAATTTGAAGGAAACCCAGTTAAGTAGGCGACCCCACAGACAATGTCGAGCAGCTTTTTCTACGTGTCGGTCAAGTAAAAGAGTGAGTGAGTGAGTGAGAAGATTGTGTAGTGACTAGTGAGAGGAATAGAGCTTTTGTTGCAGAGAAAGAAAGTAAAGGTGAGAGAGAGAGAGAGAGAGAGGTGTATTAGAACTTAGAAATGGTGGCAAGAGAGAATCCTATACTTTCTTCTTTTGCTACTAAATTTTGTCTTAATCAAGATGAGTTTAACTTTGGCAAATCTGATTTCGAATGTTACTTTCTTGGCAATTGGGGCGACCTCTATGCTTTGGCAAAAAAATAAACATAATCATTTTTTTTTTAAAACAGTCTTATTTAGAGAATTTTATTTCTAGAACTTTTTAAATTTTTTTGCCACAATATTTTCTCTCTCAAAATTTAAATTTCACATTACATATTTCATTTAAATTTATTAACCACACTTATGAATCAAACAAAATTTATTTAGTATCAGAAAATATTTTATTGGTGGTGGGGTTTAAATTTAACACCGTTAATTTATATTGAGTTTTATTTATCTTAATTATATCTAATATTTAAAAACATGCACTATCAATGAATAGGTAGAACGCTCCATCTTATTTTGCTTAAACTTCAAATGGAATGAACAAATTTTTAATAGGATACCTTATTAATAGTCAGTAATTATGAATTGTTAGATTTCTACATCTTTTGTGGTGTATATAAATATGTTTTATTTTATAATATAATAATCAATGAACAGGTGCGTTATTAATAGAGATAAAAACAGTTTTAAATTATTGATTAAATATTTTATGCCAAATGATGTGAGTGCATTGTTGTTTTTTGATTGGTAAGTAAATTTTTAAAAATTTGTACTTTACTCGTAAAAGATTAACGATTTATTTATTTAGTAAAATAGATTTGATAAATAATTTGAGATTCTAACTTTTTTTTTGGCTGAGATTCTAACATTACTCAATAAAGAATACCCACATAATGCTTATAATTTTAGCTGTGTTTATTTACACAATTCAAATCATAATTTAAGTTGTGTACGTGAGAAAAAAATATTATAATAAAAAAATAAATTTAAATTTATATAAGAGAAAATATTATAGTAAAATAACTTGATTCAATGTTAGTATATCTAGAATTAACCAAAATTTTGCAATTCTTTTTTTTTTTAGCTTTTCTTATACGGGTAATACTACCTTTTTCTTCACAAGCATCAAGACGAGTAACTTTTGCCTTCTTTAAATTTTATATTGTTCAACTCATTGTCTTACGTTTTCTTTTTGTTTCTTTGTTTCTATCTTACGTCACATCACATGTTACTTGATTAGATCTCATTTCTTGCCACTACAATATAAAACTTGGTACTTTGGTACTCACTCACTCTCTTTCCATGTGGGAATGTTTTTCCCTTGGTATTTTAGGGTCCGTTTAGTTCGTTGATTCGAATTTTTAATTCGAGTTGAGATGTAATTTTATGTGAGAACTTTTTACTGTAGCAAAAAAGTTAAATGTGACTGTTTCTAAGAGCTTTTTACTGTAACAAAACTCAAATTCTAAACTCAAATCGGTGAAATGAACGGGGCCTTAAACTCTCTTTCCTTCTCTTTAATGGTCCAACTAATTCTTTTCCTAATTGTATTTTGGTTTCTGATGGTACAGGATTCAACTGTTTTATGAGGTCACTAGTCAACAACGTTTAGATTACGCAGCCTAAAACATTCATTATCAGAATATTTGGTCCCCAGTTTGGAACTCTTGTCTAATGATGCACAATCTCTTTAAAAACAATCCTTCCATGACCCCACTGACTTAAAAACCTTGTTACCTGTTTAAAATCGTTCAACACAGTAGCTTTTGTGTTCAATTTCCTAATGAAAAACTATGAACGCGTTTGGAACTTATTTCAAAATGATTTTATTTTTTGTATGAAAATGAAAATGAAAATATTTTCAATCTCATACATAAATTATTTTTAAAAATGCGTTTGGTAGTTTTATCAAGAGATTATTTTTAGTGTAAAAAAATTCAATAATGTCTCTCTTTCTCTCTCTGCCTAAGAGATGAGAAAATGAAAAACGACTAAAAGTCATTTTTCATTTATCTTTCATTTTACACTAAACCAAAAAAATCGTTTTAATTTCTGTTTATTATGCCAAACACTATTTTAGAAACATTTTTATTTTTTCTTTCTTGAAAAATGTAAAAAACAAAAACGTAATGCCTATACTTTTCTAAATCGATATTACAACGATAAAAATGTCCTTTTTTTTTCTCGATCATAACCAACCAATGATTCATGCAGCATTGGACCCGTATTTGTAGTTGGTTAGATCGTTTTTGTTCTATTAATGGCCCCAATTTTATATTTCTTCTATAAACAATCGTGATCGGGTGTGGATCACGATCAAAGCTTCTCTTCCACCACGTGTTCAAAGCCATTAATATTGCTGAGCATGCCAACCTCATTTTATATGTGTGTTGGACCATTTGCTATGGGATTTGCAGCCCTTTCTATGTCACATATTTATATGTTTGGAGCTTTATATGTGTTTTTCACGGTTCAAAGTCCAAACACTTGTGTCCCTTTTCTCTTTTCTTGTTATTCTTATCTTTTATTATTATTTTTTATGTTGTGGCACTGTAGGCCCGTTATTTTTCTTAGCCTTGAGCCCTTAAGTTTTTTTATTTTTTATTTTATTTTTTGGTTTATCACGAGTCACAACGTTGTAATAATAGGGTGAGTGTGTATTGTGTGTAGGGGTGAAATAAATCACCCCAAACCCGACTACCCAACCTTATCATACCCGAAAATATATGGGTTTTTTTTTTGGTTTAAAATTAGCCCAACCTGCAATGGACGGGTAGGGTCGCGGGCCCAAACCCATTACCCCGCTTAACCCTACCCGGCCCAAATAACCATCTGCACTTAAAAAAAAAATCCTACATCACCTACCTCTCTCTCTCTCTAGAAACACGCTTAAGTGAACGAAAGCGTTCTTTTTTCACCGTAAAAGACTCTTCTTTCTTGGCCATATCACTTCTTAAATGTGAATGCTTAATGGGTTTTCTTCACTTTCCATTCACAACCATGTTCACCGTTTAGAAAAGGATATCTGGGGTTTTCTTTACTCTGGTTTATTGATTTTCTGAAATGGGTTTTTGAGGGGCTTTGCTCAAAAGCAGATTTTTGGCAGTTTGGGAGTGTTTGTTTGTTTCCTGGGATTTTAGTACAATTCCGAAATGAGGAGCATTTATGGAATTTATTTAGTAGATTTGCTTTGCTTTGGGATGTTTATTTGCTCTTTGTGCCAGGATGATTCAGAGAATATTACAGCTATTTATATCGTCACTCTTAAAGAAGCTCATGATTCTGTTCATTACTATGGTGAGCTGAGGGAAAATCACGGAGCCAAGTATGGTTCTTCCGAGAGGGTGAGAGTTCATAAACCAAGGTACTTTTATCTTATGCCTTAAACATCACAGGATTAGCTGGTAAAGTTGTTATATAGGATTTGGAAGACCAAGCAGATTTGTTTGAATATTTGTGAACCCTCATTGTAAAGAATGTCGCACTTAAAATTTGGAGTTTGTTTACCCGAAGTAATCTGGCCGACCTGAGGTAACCGAATGGTATATAGGTTCTAAAATTAATTAACTGTTGCGGCCCAACATTTTCTCAGGCCGATTATTGCGGGCCGGCCCAAAACAAGCCCAAAAACCGGCCGACCTGAGGTAACCGAATGGTATATAGGTTCTAAAATTAATTAACTGTTGCGGCCCAGCATTTTCTCAGGCCGATTATTGCGGGCCGGCCCAAAACAAGCCCAAAAACCGACCCTACCCAGCCGACTTTCACCCCTAATAATTGTATGTACTTTTGATAATGTCACTCGATCCCTTTTTTGTAGGGTTGTCAATTAATGTCAAGTGTCGTGTTTTGATCGTTTTTTTAAAATTTGTAGTCAACCCGAACACGACCCGTGACATGAAATTTTTTAAAAACCGCAACACGAACACGACATGACCACTTTATGAGTTGACACGACACGACTCAAAAATGACCCGTGACACGAAATTGACCCGTGAATCCGAAATTGACACGAAAATTGTATACTTTTATTTAGTTTTTTACATATTAGAAATAACTTAAAATTCATAACACACTAAATTACAATAACATCCATTGAAACTAGATTTTGAGTATAACTATCATGATATCACAAATTCATAATAAAATTTAAAATATGTACTGAAAAATATATGTATTTTTTAGTTTTTTACGAGTTTCGTGTCGTGTTCGGGTTAGGTGGGTCCAACCCGAAATTGACCCGTATATTTTTGTGTCAATTTCAGGTCGACCCAATTCTGACCCGAACATCTTTTTTCTCAACTCTAACTCATAAAATTCGTGTCGTTTTCGAATTGTGTCGTTGTATCGTGACCCATATTATCGACCCTATTTTTTTGGGCTTTTGACCAAAGATACAAACAAAAGCAAACAATGCCGCTTCATTTTTGCTTCAAAAACAAACAAACAGTTCCAAAAGAAGCAAAGAAAGAAACAGACAAAAATATTGGAAAGATGGCGCCAAAGAAAAATTCTTGCTTGCGTTGCATCTCCAGTACTCGATCAACAGTTCCTGAGGGTGAACATGTGATGCTTGAACAGGTCAATCATGGGCCAAAATCTTATTTTGACCCGTTCTGTACCTACGGCCCATTACTTTTGGCACAAATGAAACTGGATCAGTCTTGTACCCTGGTCCAAGATGACTCTTCGGCTCATTTTAAATTGAGAATTTGAATTAAAAAGTGAATTTAAATGAAAAAAATACTAAAATTATAAAAATTTAAATTTAAATTTTTATAAGAAAAAATACTGTAACAAAAATTTAAATTGTGATTTAAACAAGCGAAATGAACGGGATTTATATGTTAATGTTTAGTGGCAAATGACAATGTTAATACTCTTTTTCCTTTTAAAATGACATTATTAATACTACCATTTTTTTTTTCCTGTCTTTTACATTTATGTCATTCAAAATATGAATTTCTACCATTTAAAACTACTTTACTGATTAATACTACCAGCCTTTTTTTCCTATCTTTTACATTTATGTCATTCAAAATATGAATTTCTACCATTTAAAACTACTTTACTGATTTAGTAAAAGACATTTTTTACTGTGCCACTTTAATGGTATAAATGCCAGTTAGTACTTTTTTGCGGGGTTTTTTTTGAAATCTGTGATCCGCAGTAACATTGAAATTATATTGAAAAGTTTTAAGTTAATGAACTGGACTAAAAATTTTTTTTTAAAAAAAAAATGCCTATTGGTAGATATTTTTAAATATTTATCAAAACCTGGAAGCCAGATTCTTTAGGGGCATGCCTGTTAGATCTATGGATTCACTGTGTAGAGGCAACATACAAATATACAAAATGCTTTGATCTCTCATATTCATATACAATATGACATAATTAAAAAAAAAAAAAAAAAAAGAGAAAAAAAAAAGCCCAAAAAATCCCAAAAAAAAAAAAAAAAAACATCAATTACAGATACTAATATATACCAGGAACTAAACGTAGTAGACCATTCCCACCTCAAGAGTAGATGCATGAGGAATGCTCAAAGCATAACTTGGTCCTCTAAAATTTCTCCTCAAGAAATCATACCCAAAATTGATCACTATTTTCTTCATCAAACTGGACCCTCTCTTTGCCCTCACATATGAATGTCCTAATATAAATGCCATTCCTGCCTCTCTTGCTTCCATTAGTTCCTGTAACTCTTCCTGTGTTTCTCTATCAATCCGCGGACTTTCTGGCAGTACAAACCTCACTCTCTTCCTCACCCTAACCGGAGACTTTATCTCTCTTAGCTCTGAAGTCCCCGCTATCTCCGGAAAGTCCTTATCTTCTGATAGTCTGATGCCTTCCATGTTTGATGATGAAGTCCCTACCACTGTCATTTTCTCATCAGTTTCCAGTTCTTCTAGTCTGAGATCACATTCTGGTCTCTCTGACCGGATAAACTCAGCGACGCTACGAACAAGATCTTTCTCGAACTCCACGTCGTCCTTGTGAACATCATGGTAACCGTAGCGTGCTATGCATCTGTACAACCGGTACTCCTTTGGACCAACTCTCCCAACCAAGAACCTTTCTTCAGGTCTAACATGAGGAACTGGGACAGACTTGATGCAAAGGAAGACAACTACTTGATGGAAAGCTGGGAGGTTGGTCACAAAGTGAGAAAAGACTGCCGGGATACCAGATACCAGCTCGGTGTGTATGAGGCCAATTCCCCTGACCCGGACGATCCCTAAAGTCGGACCTAAACTGAGGAGCCAGTTGATAGAGACCTTATTTTGAACATCTGATTCGTATTTCTTGAGAGTGCCATAGTGCCAAACGTACATAACAACAAGGAAGATAAATGAAAGAGCAACAGGAACCCAAGCCCCTTCTAGAAACTTGATCAGAGAGGCTGAAAAGTAGAGAGCTTCGATGGAGCCGAAGAAGAAAATGAAGCAAATGGCAAGGAAGATACTTTTGTGCCAGCACAAGACCATGACTAGAGACATTAGGCAGGTGGTTACCAGCATGACAGTTATAACTGCAAGGCCTGCAAAATCAAGCTAGAAAATGAGTGGTAAATGGAGTACTAGAAGAAGGACTAAGGAATAATGTTTTATTATTTAAGTTCCTTGTTCTGGTGATAAGGCCGTGTCAGTTACATGTATCTTTTATTAAAGTTCCTGATAAGTTTTGTTAAATTTATTTGGTGTATGGCGGGGTGGCTAGTGGATGCCTACACTTTCGGTGCCAATTGTTCTCTCTCATCATTCATTAAAAGGAAAACATATAGATGTATGTTATAACACAGATATATACGCAAAAAGCTTTAAGAAGAAAGCAGATATTTACTATCAAACTAAGAAAGCATTCTAAGTATTATTAGTGTTGTGCATTTGGCAAGACATTAATATAGTACCTGAAGCATTGCCCAACCGTTTCGTATCTCTAAAACCAACAGTCACAGCCAAGCACAGCAACATCAAAGTCCAATTTATCTCTGGGATATAAATCTGCCCATGTATTTTAGAGGAAGTGTGAACTATTTTGACCCTTGGAAAGCAACCCAACGCAGAACACTGTTTGATTATTGAGAAAGTCCCAGTAATAACAGCTTGGCTTCCCACCACTGCTGCAAGTATGGCTATAGCCAGAACAGGCCATCTTATTCTCTCTGTGAGAATAAATATGAGGTTCTGAATCAGCTAAATTTCAGTTCAAGATTAAAATAAGTACTTTAAGAGTTGCATAGCATTAGACACCTACCAGGCACAGATACGTAAAATCCGATCCGATAGTTGCTTTCTAAAACGTGATGCTTAGAAAGATAAGCAGCTTGGCCCATGTATGCTAGAATCAAGGAAGGGTAAACCACGAATGTGAAAGCAATCTGTAGGAAACAGCTTTCTGTTAGATGTGTTGCTTTAGTCGATGCAATATCTTCTATGGGAAAAGAAAAATCATCGACAATTTATGACTCGTCAACTGATTGATGCACAGTCAAAATCCTCGGATTCATAGATGCTTGAAGGTCCAAATTGAGCATTTGCTTGAAGGGAACACCAGTGCTATAGTAAACAGGATGTTCCAGCTCTACATTGCTTCTCAAATGCTAGATAGTACTAATATTCTTACTATAATGTAGGTATTTGTAATTCTTAAAGAAACTAAACTTGCTATCAGTGACGTGAAGCAAATAAAATTTTTTAAAGTTTTTGTGCTGAGAAGAGGACATCTTAAGGAGGCAAGTGAAGAAGTTAACCATTTAAATTCAATTCCACTTCAGACAACAACTAACCCGTTTAGTTCGCTAATTCGAATTTTTAATTCGAGTTGAGATCGGGTCCGTTTAGTTCGCTGATTCGAGTTGAGATGTGATTTTATATGAGAGCCTTTTACTGTAGCAAAAAAGTTGGATGTGACTATTCCTGAGAGCCTTTTACTGTAGCAAAACTCGAATTCTAAACTCGAATCGGTGAAATGAACAGGGATCCTCGTATTACCTCAGAGAAAATAGCCAGTAAAACTTGATTAGGATTCTTAATAATACCTATTCATGAAAATTAACTAAGCAAACACACGAGTATCTTTCTGTGCAGAAAAAAAATGCCAAACAATCGTCTTTGTACCTGGATTGATAGCTGTGAGAAGTGCCCCAGATCAGCAAACATGGCTTCTGAGCCTGAAAACACAAAAACGAAATCAGAGAGGAACATATAAAGAGAGGAAAAAAAAAATGCCCGGCATGTAAAATGGACAAGGGAAATACAGTTCATATACATACTCTTGTACCTGTTATACACAACAGTATTCCACCCAATGACATCCAGCCTCCTCTCTGAGTCTTCTTCAAAAATTTGTACATATAATATGGAGAGAGTGCTCGGTAAACATGAGGATTCCAATGGATGATATTATACGCACCGATAGCACTGATGCACAAAAGCCATGTAATCACAATAGGAGCAAACAGGAATCCTACTCGGTGGGTCCCGTAATGTTGAAGGGCAAACAAGAATATGAGTATGACACAAGCAACTGGCACCTCAACATCTGCAAGTTTAACAAATCTAGTTTAAGAAATTGAAAGAAATCACCTTCATCTTTTCCTACTCACAAACTAGAGAAGGAAACAGACGTTGATGGCACAGACCCCCTGTTTTCTTCTTTTTCACAAAATGACCGAACTGCATTTTAGAAGCAGTTTGCTATGGCATGACAGTGTCATCATGTGATGGCACGAACTGATGACCTGAATTCTAAAGATTTTTGTGGTACTACTTAAAAAGTATCACTAAATTTATAGAAGTTACTGAAATGTCACCCCCAATTCAACTTTCTCCCAACTCAAATTGCTCATTAAATTTCCGATCAAAAACCAAAAGTATAATACTAGTACATAAAACCAATGTCCCCATGTCCTGATCAGCAGATTGCTGTGCATTTTGCTATCAATCAATAACGTTAGATTTCAGAATGATCTGGTATCATGACTTTCTACTGTCAAAGATTCCCATGTAAATTAGTTATCAGCTAATCAATTTTGCACCAGCTTTGTTTCTATGATGTTTAAAACGGCAATTGAAATTATAGATTAAGATGAAGCATTTAGGGAGCAATGACTTTCCTGTCATTGCTAACTCTGCTGTGAAGTAAATATTTAGATCAAGAAACATGCTCGGAACATAAAAGCTGCCTTGAAAGTGAAACTGCATGAATATATGGAACTAATTCCGTGAGGATCTTAACAAGGCATAGACATACAATTGACAAATGCCATTTCTCGCAACTTTATAACCTGATAATGGCTTATCATAGTCCAGTTGATAAGACAACAAATTGTCACCACGATGAGTCAGTGGAGAACACATAACCCACTATGGCAAAGTCCATCAACTAAAGTTGCACCTTTTCGTTGCCCACTAATAAAAGTTATCAAATGTGACAAATATGGTGATAGCACCAAAACATGGACGCTTTTTGTGTACCAACGTTTTTTATACATATATGTTGAGAAGTTGTGTTGGTAATGGTGAAACTGATGATTTGACTAGAAAATGGTGGCAAATTTGGATGATAGTTATTAGTTATAATGTTAATTGACTTTAATTATTCTAGTGTTTGAAACAAGAGGAATAAGCATAGTTAACACCAAAATCATGATTATGTATGCTTCTTAGAGTATCAAAAAAGACGAATATGATGTCTGAACTAGAGAATTCTATTGACTATATTGTATTATTCAGTCTTATCCAAACTAAATCACCTTTTTCTTTACCTAAAAACGACACCTTAACTTTATAAAGAAGCAACTTTATCATGCACTCAATTACATAATCTGTAAATTTAACTTTGTTTCTCTCTTTCTCAGCCACATTTTGTCTCTTTGATTTTTTGTTAACAACCAGGGAACCATCTAATGTTATCAAATTATATTTTATAATCTTGATGGTGATTAGATGATTAAAAGAAGGAAGTTTAACTTAATATATATGTAGGGGGACCCACGATCGTGCATGCATTTCTTTAAAAAGTTTTGGTATTCCCTCGTGTCCACTGGCGTCACGTCTTGCATAAACAAAAGGAAGAAGAAAAGTTGTTGACATTTCAAACAAACATCCAATCTCCAACTTCTAAGCAGTGAAACAAGATTAGTTACCTAATTTCTTAGAAATCTTAAGCAAAAGAGAAATTCTATGAAATTGTTCCCAAAAGTTTTTGGTATACCAGTGAGAGCCATAACTTCCTAATTAACTAATTGAATACTATCTATTTACAGTATTGCCTTCATTAATCCTAATTAAATTAATTCAAAGTTCCAACTCCTCACCCTCTCTTCCGAACACCCAAAAATGTAAAAAAAAAAATATATATATATAATATAATAAAATAAAATAAAAAAAATGAAAAAACAACATGATTGAAATATTCAGACCGCTAGATTAGGTGCTCAGCGCTAGTTTGGTAATGCCGTAAATTTTGAAAAATTCGCAGTAAAGCGGCAAAACTGTAATTTCAAAAGTGCTGTTACTATGAAAAGCTGTATTAGTACTCACAGCGATGTTGCTCTTTATGCATGGAAAGCTCCAGACCCGAAACAGCAGAAAAAACTGCAAAAACACAATATTTATTTGTAAAAAAAAAAAAAAAAAGTTCATCACATTCCAATATCGCAATAAAAAATTCAAGAAATACCCAATAAGAAATAGTACCAGAAATTGCTGGTGTGAGCACTCCATCTCCAATAACCATACAAGTCCCAATAAGAGCCAGAACAAGCAAAACCGTCTGAAGAACTCTGTACTTCTCCAATGTGGATTTCAAGGTCGACCCACGTAAGGTTTTAGCAGAAGAAACGACCCCCTCTTTTGTGTACTCAGATAAGTCCTGATCAGCAAGCTGGCAATTGGGCAAGGAGCTAACTCTGGCATGTCGGCAAAGCAATGAATACAAAGCAAAAGTCCCACCTTCACCATTATCATCAGCTCTAAGCACTATGAAAACGTATTTCACAAGTGGGATTAAAGTTAGCGTCCAGAACACAAACGACAACACCCCATAAATCTCCTCGTTCGTCTCCGAATGTTGGATGTCTTCTGCGAAAGTGCTCTTGTAGACATACAAAGGAGAAGTGCTTAAATCGCCGTATACAACTCCCAAGCTCTGGTACGCCAGAGTTAGTACTGTTTTCCATGAATCTTTCTGCAAAAAAAAAAAAAAAAAAAAAAAAAAAAAAAAAAAAAAAAAAAAATAATTCATCAGAAACTCCAAAAAGATAGAAATTTTTTTTTCATATTTTTTGTTTGTTTACCTTGGCTGGGTGGCTGCGGATAACTCCCTCCAGATCCATTAATGGGTGAGAGATGAAATAATCAGAGAAAAACCATTTGAGGAGAATTTGAAGGAGACCCAGATGGATTAACGCCCTCCCTAGTTATAACAAGTCGGAGAAAAACAAGCAGCTCTGACGATAAACTTGTATTAAACTAAAAAAAAATGGATTTTTTTTATTTAATGACCGGAAAAGTAGTTCAGTCTCCCCACGAATGCGGACAAATGAAAAACAAACAAGAAAAAGAACACTAAAAGAGAGTGGAGAGAAGGTTTGGAATTACAGAATAGATTATTGTGATGTGATGAGAGAGAGAGAGACAGAAAGAACTAAAGAAGGTTGGTTTTTTGTAGTGCGAATAATGGTATGGTGGGTTTTGGTTCTGCTTTTTGTTCAGTAAAGATTCTGGATAGAGTCTATATATATATCGAAAGAAATATATATATATATATATATATGAGAGAGAAATGGGATTTATCTTCACTCTACACCACCTCCACTTGGCTCTTTTGAGAAAGAAAAAGAGAAGAAAAAGAAGAAGAAGGAGAAGAAGAAGAAGAAAATGATGATATGGACCATCCAGTGAGAAAGTTGCCCTGTAAAACAAAGCATGCACTGACAAACCTTAAATTCCTTTTAACTCCCAACACTAACCCCTCTGAATTTTTCCTGTGAACTATAAAAATAAAATAAAATAAGTAAAACCTCTGAATTATTCTTTTTCCTTTCTTTTTTGGTTTTGCTCTTTTTCTTTCAGTTATTGTGCAAAAGCTTCCTATCTTTCCTTAAAAAATTCATCAAATGAGAAATGATTAACAAAAGGGGGTCAAATATTGCCTATTTTTTAAATTAATATTTATGGGTTGAATTTGAAACTCTGGGATCTTCATGTCCCGTTTTAAATAGTTCACTAACATCCACATGATGTTATTGAGGGGATAAATTTTGATATTGTGTAGAAAAGTGACAAAAGAGAAAAATGTTATTTCAGAAATGGACTTATTTACTTGAATGAATTTATGATTGGGCATGCACTTCATGGATGTCCTGACAATTGTTGAGCTCACAGGAGACTAATATCAGCCTACTTTCACCCACTTATTTAAGTTTCTCTCTCTCCAATTATAAAAGCCAATAATTAATTTTACATGTCACAACGTCTACAATGAAATTAATGCACACATAATTAGGCCAGGGAATGATTAATGAATTAATTCAATTCGGCTTATTGTTGAATGATAACGAGCCTTATAATTTAGTAACTAAGCATCCAACAAAAGTAAATGTCAATTTAAGCTACTTGAGGTGGTTGAGCCATGTTGAAATCTCTTTAATAAAAAAACACGAGATTTGCATCACGAATATAACTTCACTTTGCATTTAGTAAAGCAAGCTTTCACTTTCTGGTCAATAGAAAATCATGTTGTATGCAAGAATCAGATTCTTAAACTTACCACCTTCAACTGTGTCCATTCTATAGGCGGCCTTATGTTTTGTTTTTTTTTTTTTTAATCCAATGCTCCTAAATAAGAAGTATTTTCTAGAGCCCAAACAAGGTACTATCACTAAGTTGCTAGCTACCAATGTCATTGTCTTGCCAGATAGAAGCAATGCACGAAAAGCTTCAACTAAAGAGATTCCAGTCAACTCCTCCTCTTCAAAACCAACAATTCATCATAAGGGCAACTCTAAATTCTTTTCCAAAAGCCAACAAAAGTTTTGGTGAAATGAACCCCACTATCCTAAATACTTCTCGAGAGATTCTCTAATATGTATGATATGTCAGTATATCAGGTTTTTTTAACCGTTGAATTTACGTATTTTTTAACTTTTATGTGATTTTATACGGATCCGACTGACAGAAAACTTAGCCTGTTGGTATGTTAGTATATCGAAGAAGGTCTCATACTTTTATTGCTTATAAAAACTGAAATCTTATATAATTTTTTTTTAAAAAAAGTTCCAAAGAATAATAATCCCAAATCGCTAATATATAGAAGTGGCGTGCTAAGTTTCAGACATATGAATTAGAGGTACAATAGTTGATGATTGATGACAAGTAAGCCTAACAATTAAAGTGTTTCAATTAATGTTGTTCACAACAACTTAGTTTGATTTCTCAAGCTTTAATTAAATGTTTAATTGAAAAGAACCCTTATGATAACCAAATAAATTAGCCGATAAAATAAGAGCAGCCAACTATTAGTTTTTTTAATCCAATGCTCCTAAATAAGAAGTATTTTCTAGAGCCCAAACAAGGTACTATTACTAAGTTGCTAGCTACCAATGTCATTGTCTTGCCAGATATAAGCAATGCATGAAAAGCTTCAACTAAAGAGATTCCAGTCAACTCCTCCTCTTCAAAACCAACAATTCATCATAAGGGCAACTCTAAATACTTTTCCAAAAGCCAACAAAAGTTTGGGTGAAATGAACCCCACTATCCTAAATACTTCTTGAGAGATTCTCTAATATGTATGATATATCAGTATATCATGTTTTTTTAACCGTTGAATTTACGTACTTTTTAACTTTTACGTGATTTTATACAGATCCGACTGACAGAAAACTTAGCCTGTCGGTATGTTAGTATATCGAAGAAGGTCTCATACTTTTTATTGCTTATAAAAACTGAAATCTTATATAATTTTTTTTTTAAAAAAGTTCCAAAGAATAATAATCCCAAATCCCTAATATATAGAAGTGGCGTGCTAAGTTTCAGACATATGAATTAGAGGTACAATAGTTGATGGTTGATGACAAGTAGGCCTAACAATTAAAGTGTTTCAATTAATGTTGTTCACAACAACTTAGTTTGATTTCTCATGCTTTAATTAAATGTTTAATTGAAAAGAACCGTTATGATAACCAAATAAATTAGCCGATAAAATAAGAGCAGCCAACTATTAGATATAAGTATTATAAGATATTGTGCTTACGAAGTCCTTGATGTTGCATATTATAAAATTGAAGATAAGATAAACGGGAGGTGAGGGGAGCCACTCACATCTTTTGTTTGTGGAGAGGAGATTATAACAAGTGTTGTCCTTCATATTATAAGAAGCCAAGGAGAAGGAGAGCTTTTTTTTTGCAAGCCCAAAATTTGTCATATTGTTTTCATTTTATATAAGTGGGTGACCACTTCCCACTAGTGGCAAATGTACAATGGCACTACCACTTCTTTTTTAACCGTCTAGAGTTTTTTGGAGCCTTTATTATTAAAAAATATCTGCGTTCTAGATGGATCCCACAATTTTGAATAGTCAATTCTTTCATATCCCATTATTATTAACAGAGAATTAATGGAAACCCAACTTTGCTTATTCGTTTCACTAATCAATTCGTTTCACTAATCACCCAATGTTGTTTTCAGCTCGAAGAAAACTTGTGGGTGTTAATAAAACATATGGCAGCATTGTCATGACAAATTAAACTATTTTTTGGACATGTCGTATTCAATTGGTTGGAGTCCAGAAAAAAAATGCAGAGACGTGTGTATAACCCCAAATGAAAACCACTTTAAGTAGGAAAGGTTCGTAAAAAAGTAAAAATCTTTTAGGATGGAAAGTTTTTTAGTAGTACAAGTGTATAAGTTATTACAAACAAGATAACTCATCTTGGAGTAGACCAAAGGGGGTCACAAAATAGAAAGTTGGTAATGACTCATGATCTTATCTCTTCACTTCATAGAGGACATTTAGATAGTTACATGATGATCTTCTTGGCCTTGTCAAAGGCTCAAACAAATACTTAGCTACAAAACAATTATGCACAGAAAACATGAGAATCCCCACTAGGATCCTTAATGTTGCAAAAGGTCAGGCAATTATCAAATATAGTGATGATAAGTTGATTGATGTGAATATAATATGAGCCAATACTGTAATTTTTTAATATATTTTTCCCCTTAACACCTTGAAGATCAAGTGAGTCCATGGAATCCGGGTTTTATTCTGTTCCTGAATCAAGTCCATCTGAATAATAATAATATTATTATCAATAAATAAATAAATAACCCTACTAGCATCCTCTACCTGGTTTATCTGTACAAAATACGAGGCAAGGAAATCATGCAGAACCATATCATGGGATCTAATGCCTAGAATATGCTTTCTTGATTTGGAATAAGGATTAAAGTTAATTATTTAGGCCTCATTCATTTCACCGATTCGAATTTAGAATTCGAGTTTTGCTACAGTAAAAAACTCTCAGAAATAATCACATCTAACTTTTTTACTACAGTAAAAAAACTCTCACATAAAGTCACATCTCAACTCGAATCGACGAACTAAACAGACCATTAGACTTATTTGATATTTGATAAGACGTGATTACTTATTTTAAAGGAGATTACCTCTCAATCGGAATGATGTGAAGGTATCTGCATTGTATTAGAATAAAGTTAAAAAGAACCATCAAACATAATTTTAGGTCATTAAAAATCTTCAGACAAAATACATGTGCCCCAGATGTTCAAAAAAAAATAATAATAATAATTGTTCTTGAGTAATGAGATTCAACGGAAAATGTTTCTTAATTACTAGCAAAATGAGCCACGGCAGTAGTATATCATTTAAATTTACATAAAGAATACTTTGATTACTTCAGAAAGAATTGGTAAAATATTTTGTTTTAAGTTATAGGGTTTGTTGCTTTTGCTGATTGAATCTCTGTGCATATTCATTGCATCATATCGACAATAATTACAAATACAAGTCTTAATCTTAAATTAATTAAGGTCGGCTTTATAAATTTTTCATTTTCAATTTATTTTATTAAATACGAGACCCTCTTAAAATCATAGATCTTGAAAGTCGTGCCTAACTACTTCACATCATATGATAGTAACTAAACACGCCATATTTATAGGTGATTCCACATTGAAGGCATCAAAAGGTTTGAAGATATCATTTAGATTTTTATTTTTCTTAAGGGAATTTAGATTTATATCATTAAGAAAACTAAATAATGACAATCATTAGTATGTTTGCCAAGTCTTTTTCTCATCTCATCTTTTTTTCCCTTCCCTTTTCGAGAGAACAAGTAAATGCCTTTTGTGATGGCCTTTCTATGAGGATCTTACTTTGAAAATATAGTTTCTAAAGTTAAAATTTTTTTACTTTTCCAATATTGTAAATATGAAGTTGTTGTGCAAATTAGAGATGTAATAACGGTTTTATACTTTTTCCAAGTGTTATCTGTATGAACTCAAATTCGTTCTTAATTTTGTCGCTATTATAACAAGACATCCCTATTCATACGCTGAATATATAGTTATTTATAACAAAATTTTCATTTTGCAAGCATTTAACTTTGACTTCGAATAAGAAACATAATCTCGATCTTCTTAAAAAGAACATGAATCTGACATTCATTTGAGAGATTCCAGCTTTCCACTCGGCAGTCTCATTTCATGAGATACATGTCTCGTTCACTTTGCGGATTCGAGTTTTCAATTCGAGCTGAGATGTGACATTTTCTTAGAGCTTTTCACTATAGCAGAAAAAATTAGATGTGACATTTTCTGAGAATTTTTTACTGTAAAAATCTAAAACTGAAAACTCGAATAAGTGAAATGAACAAGGTATTATTAATTTTTTTTAGAAGGTACATGGTAATAATTATTTGTGGTTCAGAAAAAAAGGACGCATAATTACTTAAAGAAACGACAAGTGGAGAAAACGACACTTTCTTTTGCTATCGACAATAACCAACAAGTCGTTTGAATGTGACATTGAATGCACGATAATGTATGGTTGATGAAAAACGACAAGTGAGAAAACGACTTGTATTTTTTGTATCAATTTTAAATGATATGCCATTTCGGTAGCAAGAAAAGCGACACTGAATGCAACATTGAAATAGGAGGATAAAAAGACAACATTTATGCTGAGAGAATAAACGACAACTTATTTTTATAAAATGATTGTGTATAAAACGACACTGAACAAAAACCAAATGTCGTATTATTGAATAAACGGCAATTTATAGAACGAGACGAAGTTTTCTTGAGAAACAACGGAAGACAACGTCATACACTCTCTAGATAATATAAACTACATGCCGTTTTTAACTGAAAATAAAATGGGTTTTCATCATCTAATACCTTGTGTTTTGACATATATAACATCACTCTTCTTCTTTTGAAAGGCATTGATATTGATACCATGCTATTTTCAAAAGGGTTAATAGCTCTTGTAGTCTCTAAATTATGAGGGTGACATTTTGATTATTGAATTTTTAATTTATACACATTTAGTTCTTAAATTTTCATTTTTTTTGACAATTTTGAAAGATTTCACTAATTTTGCAGAAATAATCACATCATTATCACATGATAATAGAAAATTTTACATAAATAGTTACAGTATGTATAAAATATTATAATTTTAATGGGTTCTAGTTGTAAAAAAGAAAATTTTTTACGTATAACATAATTGTTTTTGCAAAATTATAAATTATTACGCGATGAACATCTATTTATCTTTGTTAAATTTCAAAAATTATTAGTTAATTTTCTTGTCGAGGACTAAAATTATTAAAAATGAAAGTTTAGAGATTAAATGTGCCTAAATTAAAAGTTTATGGACTAAAATGTCTACTGCACTCAAAGTTCAGGGACTAACATAACTATTAACCCTTTTGAAAATAATAAAAAGATACTTGGTTTTTTTTTAAATGCTACTTTGTAGTTTTTAAAAATATTTTGATACCCTAATTATCAAATATATATATATATATATATATTTTGATACCCTAAACCCCTTTTTTAAACCACTGAATTTCCATTTTATTCTTCTCGTTAATTAAATACAAATCAATATAATTCTAAAAGTACACATTAAAAGATATTTAGATCTAAACATCTAAATTTTTAAATGTTATAATATCGTTTTTTCATTTTTAGACTATGAAACTTGGAAGTTTATAGCTTGTTTTATTTGACGCACATTTTTTTTATATAATATATATACTTTACTCTTTACTGTAGGATTCTCCTTTTTTTAATAAATAAAAATGTATATACAGGAAAATCTATTTGGGACGATACATCCTTAATTTAAAATGCCATTAATAAACAAATAATGGAGCCCTATACTATATATGGCTCCGGAAATATCCAACTCCGCACAAAATCGCATTACACATTGCACAAGAGGACAAAACACAACACATGCACAAGAGGACAAAACACAACACACACAAAGTCACACCACCGCAACAACGTGAAAAAATTGAGAATTTAGAGGATGTTTGATTGGGTGATTCGAATATTTTTTGATTTACGTTTATTTTTTGTGAGAGAAAATATTGTAGCGAATAATGAATCATGATTCGAATCAGGGAACGAATCCCTCTACTAAACATGAGTACGAATCTTTACTCTTTATTATTAATAAATACATTTTTAACGTAATTATTTGACTAAAAATATTATTAATTAAAAATATAAAATCCCAACTCATATATTTTTAAAAGAGTATTTATCAAAATTATTCAAATAAAATTATCGTAAATTTTAAGTTGTAGAACCCGTGTTAAAGTAGAGATGTCAAATGAGTCGGGTCGTCCTAGCTCATAACAGTGATGGGTTTGGCACGACCCCGTACGATATTGTTATGGGCCGTGCCGGCCCGACACGTTTGATGGGCTAGGGTTAGGCCGCGGCTTCTCAACCCGCAGGCCAAGCCCTTGAACTTAACGGCCCGGCCCAAGCCCAGTTCAGCTCAAGTCCAGATTCGGCATTTGTTCGGCCCAACCCACGCACAATTTGGCAAGCCAGAAGCCCGCCAGCTTGTGACCGTTGGGCCGTTAGGCCCGTGATGGGCCGACTATTGGGCACGCGAAGGGCCCAACGGTCACAAGCTGAGAAATGCACCCAAAATTCATCTATAAATACTCCTGAATCTCACCCTAAATCCCACACAATAATTCACTCTCAACTTCTCATCTTACTCTCCTTCTATCTCTCATATTGTCTCTTTGATATTGATTCTAAGTTTTTCTCTCTCAATTACTTATTTTCTTGCTCTTTCATTTACAAAGTTCAATCAATTTCCAGAAATCTCAGAAAAAAGATATTCTACTTATCAATTTTGTTACATAATATTGTATTACACAAGTTTATTTATATTGTTTATTATTTATAAACGAACGAATTAACATTAGTTTATGTTTTTTATTTCAGAAAATGGCTGCATCAAATTTCCTGGATTTCACTGCTCTCCCTGAGCTTGGTGATGAGCCATTTTACGAGGATGAAATGTTGGCCCACAACACCACCCCCACTGAACCGGAAACTGCTCCAGTTAATAATGCTTTAGTGCACAACGAGGAAGAACATGGATGATGCCAGAAGACGAAAACAACAATATACGAATGATTCAATTCAAGAATATTTTTTTAACTTAGACATAACAAAATCTTCTGGAAGCACTTAGGTTTTGTAATTTACTTATCCTAGAATACTGCACTCTTTTTTCCTTCGCTGAAGTTTTGTCCCGATCTCCCCACGGGTTTTACTTGGCAATATTTTTAACGAGACAGTCATTTATGTGTACTTATTTGTATTATTTTAATTCAATAAAATCACATCTTTTAGAGGCATATTATATATTTTCTTTTTTTAATTAAATATTGTAAAAAAATTAAAAGGGCCGCCCGTGAAGGGCCTGGGCCCGTGCTGGTCCTGAGGGCCTTCTTTTAGGCCCGGCCCATGCACGATCCTGGACTGTTCAGGGTTGTGCTTGGCATGACTCAAGTCTGTGACGGGCTTGGAATCAGCCGTGCCGTGCTGGCCCAACACGGTACGTTTAACACCTCTACATTAAAGCTGTTTCTTTTATCCACGTCATTCGGAGCCGTATTCCAAGATCAAAAACGTAATAAATCACTCTCATAATAATAAGAACAATAAATTAGAATAGAAAGTCACGTGGAAATTAACAATAAAAAAAACATTGCTGGTAATCATACTAATTTGAAAAATCAATAATAAAAACTAATATGCTAAAAATTATTAATGTCTTCATTAAAAAAAATAGAGAATCAGAAGAATCCATTCCTCTCTTCGAGAAAATTTGCCCGTCTTTTTTTTTTTCCTTTTTTAAATGTCCAAGCAAATTATCTAATATCTTAATAAACTAATGTAAACATCCAACAAAATAAACTAATTAATAAAATGAACTAATTTCAATAATGATTTTTCTCCTTTCAAATAATTTTTTTTCTCAATTTATTAAAAGAATAATAATTTGCTTTAAAATTACATGCCGACATAATTCCGAGGTCTCCGCGCTTTCTTCAGTTTCCCCGCGAAAATCTCAACGGTCATATAACTAACAATTCACTTCTCTCTCTCTCTCTCTGTAACTCCCTTTCATCCTCAATCACCCAAAACCAACTTCTTCTTCTTCTTCTTCTCTTCTTCCTGTTGATAATCTTTCTTTCCTCGCTTTTCTCCTCTCTTTCCAAGCTCTTTGCGGAGTCCGATAACCCCGGAATCCGCCATGGAAGATGAATAGAATAATCTCCACACCAGCCTCCAAATTCCGCCACCTCCGGCGACACCTCGCCAGGTCCAGCGACGCCACCGCTGCCGTCTCGGGCGACGAGCACGCCCACCACATCCTATGGCGGTACCAGATCCTGGCCCCAGACTGCGACATTGTAGCCCACTGGAACCACCTCTTCCTCGTCACCTGCCTCATCGCCCTCTTCATCGACCCTCTCTACTTCTACCTCCCCTCCGTCGCCGGCCCCGCCTGCCTCTCCACCGACGTCAGCCTGGGCATCGCCATCACCTTCTTCCGCTCCGTCACCGATCTCTTCTTCATCCTCCACGTCCTCATGAAGTTCCGCACCGCCTTCGTTGCCCCCAGCTCTAGGGTTTTCGGCCGCGGCGAGCTCGTCATGGACGCCAGGGAGATCGCCATGCGCTACTTGAAATCCGATTTCCTTATCGATCTCTGTGCAGCGCTTCCTTTGCCTCAGGCATGCCAATTTTTCATGAATTTCTTACTTTCTATTTTAGACTTTTATCTGTTTGACATTTTGCAACAGTCAATTTACCAAATAGTTAATAGCACAGAGGTCTTTAAGCTAACGCAAAATGTGATTCAATAATGATGAATTTCTATACTGCATATATGCAATTAATCAATATTTTATCAAATTAATTCCTAGAATAAATCTTGTTCTTGATGAATTACTTAGTTGTTACTCTTAAAACTTAATAGATTTTTCTCTCTTTTGGTGGCATTTTGATCTGCAGATTGTTATCTGGTTAGTAATTCCGGCGACCAGAAACTCAAGAGCTGATCATGCCAACAACACTTTGGCACTTTTTGTTCTCATTCAATACATTCCTAGATTGTTTCTTATGTTCCCTCTCAATCAGCGTATCATCAAAACTACCGGCGTTGTCGCCAAGACTGCTTGGGCCGGCGCTGCGTACAATCTTCTTCTTTACATGCTAGCTAGTCATGTAAGGCGCATCCGAATTATATGTCTAAGATTGTCAGATTGTTTTTCGCTCTATCTTACTTGCTGAAGCTGAATTTTGTACAAACTATATGTTGTTGTTCAAGATATTAGGAGCTTCTTGGTATCTGTTGTCCATAGGAAGGCAGTTCTCATGTTGGCAAATGGAGTGCACCAAGGAGAGCGCCTCGCGGCTTCTCTCTTGCCTCCCTTCTTATCTGGATTGTAATAGTTTAGAAATGCCTGCGCGGAGGTCTTGGCTGAATGCCACCCGCGTCACTACTAGATGCGATGCGAGAAACGACAATATCAATTTCAAGTTTGGAATGTTTGCCGATGCTTTTACCAATGAAGTTGCCTCTTCAAGATTTGTGGAGAAGTACTTGTATTGTCTTTGGTGGGGCTTGAGAAACTTAAGGTATAACTTGAATTGGTATGATATTATTATAATTATGATGGTAAATAACATGCTGAGTTGCAAAAGTTAGATTACACGTATTTGTACATTTGTTTTCAGCACTAATGTTGGCATGTCTTTTCTCTTTGTAGCTCATATGGACAGAATTTGGAGACAAGCCGATTCCTTGGCGAGACAACTTTTTGCATTCTTATATGCATTATTGGTTTAATTCTGTTCTCGCATTTGATTGGAAATATGCAGGTACAATATAGTAACTTCCTCTGCTCATCACTGGTCTGTCAAGACCATTTGGGCATATTTTGCATAGCCACATTTTTCGGCACAGATGCATCAGTTTTCAGTAAAAGAATTTGGCATAATTATACAGAAAATACTGGTTCTGACTTGACGAATTTTCTTTTTGATTGTCAAAGACTTATTTGCAATCAATGACGGTAAGACTTGAAGAATGGAGGGTCAAGCGAAGAGATACTGAGGAATGGATGAGGCATCGCCAGTTACCTCCAGATTTGCAGGAACGCGTTCGTCGGTTCGTGCAATACCAATGGCTTGCCACCAGAGGAGTTAATGAAGAATCCATACTGCGTTCGTTACCTTTGGATCTTCGACGTGAAATTCAACGGCATTTGTGTCTTGCCCTTGTTCGCCGAGTATGTTTTGTTATTATGTTCTATGGCTTTTTATTTTCATAATAAACGGATTGCATAAATTTAAAGAAAATCAATCAAATCATAGTCCTCATTCTTTCCAACGAATATTCAATAACAAATTCTTTTTGTTTCATCATACAGGTTCCTTTCTTCTCGCAAATGGATGACCAGCTTCTCGATGCCATATGCGAGCGTCTTGTCTCATCTTTGAGCATCCAAGGCACCTATATCTTTCAAGAGGGTGATCCGGTAAATGAGATGTTGTTCATAATTAGAGGACAGCTTGAGAGCTCCACAACTAATGGTGGAAGATCCGGTTTCTTTAACTCCATCACTCTTAGACCTGGTGACTTCTGTGGTGAGGAGTTACTGACTTGGGCTTTAATGCCAAGCTCTAGCCTAAACCTGCCTTCTTCAACTCGGACAGTGAGAGCTCTTACCGAAGTTGAAGCTTTTGCGCTTCGAGCTGAGGACCTCAAGTTCGTCGCCAGTCAGTTCAAGCGTCTGCACAGCAAGAAACTTCAGCATGCCTTCAGATACTATTCCCACCAATGGAGGACATGGGGTGCTTGCTTCATACAAACTGCTTGGAGAAGGTTTAAGAAGAGGAAGATGGCAAAGGAGTTGACAATGCAGGAGAGCTTTTACTATTCGCAAATCTCAGGCAAGGAGGATGATTATGTTGGCGAGCTAGCTGGCGGAGATTACGAGAATGAGTGTGGTGAAACTCTATCAGGAGACGATGCAAGCAATGGCCGGAATCTTGGGGCCACAATTCTGGCTTCGAAATTTGCTGCCAACACAAAAAGAGGGGCCAACCAGAAAGTTCGGCGGGCTGGCCCTACTTCCACTAGCTTAAAGATGCCCAAGATGTTTAAACCAGATGAACCTGATTTCTCCTCGTACTAAGAGGATGTTTAGTTAGCAAGTGAAGTAACCAAGTACTAGTTTACGAAGATTTTTTGTTACATCGACGTAAAGTACACTTATAGACTAGTTATAAGTTTAATAACAATATTCTGTCTCAATTCATAGCGTTGATTTTAATTATTTTGGCTAATCTGTATCGTTGCTTTGTACACTCGCAAAAGTAGTGTACTATTTTAGCATTAGAAGCATCAACCTTTCTCAAGCAACAAACTGGGAAATAAGGAAGAACATATAGAAGAAAAAAGAACGCGAGAAAAAAAAGAAATAAAAGGCTTCTCAAGTCTGTAAGATTAAATTTATGAGCAAACTCAAGTCTAATTACAACAAAAACCCAAATTGTATATTTACGCCGTCCAAGAAATAAACGCCCAAACATTGTCTAAAGGGTCGGAAGCCATATCTGGTTTTGGATGCTAACTTTGGATGGAAGTTCCATCAAATAGTATAACCAGCAAAAACAAAATCAAGTCCTCTTATTCTCTCCCTTGCCAAAACTGAAACCTGACAAATAAAACTAAAAAAACTTCAAATTTAAGGAACTACAACCCTGTGCTTGAAAAAAAATAACAGAATATTCTGGAGTTCGTTCAGCTCCAGTTTTTGACTAAATGCAACTCCAATGGTATTCGCAGAATTCTAGTTCAAGAAAAAGTGAAGAGAACAAATCAGGCACTGAGGGAGGCTTTTCGCTTCCCTTTTCTGCTCCCACTGGCTTCTTGTCCTCCCTTTATCATTCTAGAAATAATATCTGCTTGCTTTGTATTTCCCTCCTTATTAAGGCTCTTGATAAGATCTTCGCAGCCACTCCAGTCGGTAACTCCTCCTTTCCCCATTATTTTGCATAATATTGAATATGCATTGAGAGTTTTTCCTGCTGCTAAAAGAGCATCCAACACCTTATCATAGCTCGAAAAATCTACAACATAATCCCTCTCAAGGCAAAAATCTAACAGCTTGAGAGCCGCGATTGTCTTCCCTTTCTCACAAAGAACAGACAAAAGACTATCAAAGTTTGGCGCACACCCGCTTTGCATAAGCAGATCGATCCTTCCTAATGCTTCCTCAACATGACCTCTCACGAGAAGGGCTTCCAAAATCTTAGCAACCAAGTCCATATTCTCTTTCACGCCCTTCTCGATCATACTCTTCATGACCCTACTTGCAGTTTGAGCCCTTCCATCTTCATACAGACTCTCCATTACTGACCTGAATAATGATGACTCCGGAAGATGGTCATTTTCAATCATGCTATCCAAAGCTGTTTTAGCATCAGCAGGCTCGCCTTTACTTAAGTAGCTCTTGATAAGCAATCTATAAGAATCTGCATCTCTAGCTACCCCTCTCCTACCCATGATCTTCAAAATCTCGAAAGCCGAATCAGGATTGCCTTCCTTGGAATGACCACGGATCAAATTGTTAAAGGCAACAGGATCTTGAACACCCTTTTTCATCAACTGCCGGAAAAAGATTTCAGCTTTCCCTGTCTGCCCATGGTTGCACAGGAACTGAATCATTGCATTATAAGCACTAGCCTCCATCTCTGTGGAACTCTGAGGCCTTAGTACAATTTCTTTCTCAATAAGTTTATCTAACAGCTTAACTGCCCTGTCATACACCGCAGCCTTGCAAAAGTTCTCAATGAGGATGCCATAGTGACCAGCCTCCGTTGGAATGCTCAGCCGAATCATTGCCTTAAGAACATCTGCAGCCGCATCTAAATCGCCCACCTTGCACTGGCTAGACAATAATCTCAAGAAGATGGAATTATCCTTGGGAGCAATATATCTGTCCACCATCTCCTTCAACATAGTTCGAGCCTCGGACATTTTCTCCGCATCACAAAGCCCAGGCAACAACGTCGTGTACGTGACAGCGTTCGGCTTGATACCAAAAGACTTCATCTCCTCAAACAATCTCAATCCATCGTCAACTCGCCCAATCGACACATACCCCTTTATCATCGTGGTATAACTTATAACCGTAGGAGCTATATTCCTCCCCTTCATCTCCACAAACATCTTCTCAGCCTCATCCATCATTTTGAACCGATTATACCCATTAATCATCGTGTTATACGTGACAACATCAGGCCAAACTCCCCTATTCTTCATATCCTCGTAAAACCGCTTCGCAGTCTCCAATCTCAACGAGAGAAAGAAACCCCAAAGCATGATATTATAAGTATGTTTAGTAGGCTCTATGCCTTCATTTATCATCGCATTAAAATACCTTTTAGCCATCATATATCTTCCCCTTCGCAAAATAACCTTAAACAAAGCATCATAAGACTTAACACTCCTCTCCACACCCAACTCCTTCATTTTGTTAAACATTCTTACAGACTCCTGAACAATCCCAGCTTTTCCATAACCATCAATGAACAAAACAAAAAGGTCCTCATCCCATTGCACGCTCTTCTTGGGCATGTCCAGGAGAATGCACCGGGCATGGTTGAGCTTCGAAGCTCGGGTGAGAATCTCGATGATCTTCAAATGGGTCTCGCGATCGTGATTGAACAATCCGGATCGCTCGACCCACCTGAAGAACTGAAGGGCGTGGTCGGAGTTCCGAGCGCCGTGCAAAACGTTCCAAACTAGGGAATGGTCGAACTGCGGGACCAATCTCCGGATCGAGTTTTGCAAACGGGTCGTCCACGCCCGGTTTGCCATCATTCTACAGATAATATCCTCTATCTTTTCTGGGTTTCGACTCTTACCTCGTGGGGTTCTCTGGATCGCGGTGTTTTCGGGCCGGCTTTTTGGTGGGTTCGGACTCTCGGAGGGAGGACAGTCGGGATTTGGAACTGGGTCTGGGGATTTTTCCGTTGTCGGAGCTGGGTCTTCTTCTCCTTCTTGGCTCGCGGTGAAGAGACGGAGGTGATGGATCGAGGAAGGGTTGTGGGAGATTCGGGGAAGGTTGGGGAGCGCCCTTGCCCGCCATTGCCAGCGCTTGGATAAAGCGAAGAACGCCATTGACGTTTAAGCGAAGAATCAGAATTCAGAAATGGGTTTAAGATGAGCTGGAAGGAAAGGGTAGTCACTGGCAGTGACTCGTTAGGGTTTAACTCGTTCGTCTTCCAAGGGTTTGCCAAAAAAAAAAAAAACAGAGAGAGAGAAAATAAATAAAAAAATTAATTGGGCCTTCTGGTCCAGGTTCGAAGCTAAAAGCCCAGTTAACAGTTAGTAACAAGGGATAGGCCTATTTTAGGGTGAATTTTGGGGGAACAGTATAGAGAGTTGGAATTCAAGTATACTGTTTTTCAGAAAATTTGTCTAATATTCATAAAAAGTAGTAAAGACGAATAATTGGACTTAAAAAGTTATATATACCCTAATTTATACCATAAATTGAATAGAAGTATATAAATAACTGATTAAACCGATGCAATCCAAATTTGGTTATTTATTCTTTCAATATATATATTTTGTTAAATTATATATTGGGAGCTAAGATTCTTGCATCCTTGGAACTTGAAATTTCTTATCCTTCCCCTTCGCATTGAGCAGCATCCATGGTTGGGCCAAGTTTTTATAACAAACATTAAAAGTGAGGTCAATGTAATTTTAGATTTATATGCACAGAATAGATTCACACACAAAGTAGATTAAACTGGCGTATAGTTTAGTATAATAAAAAGTGATTCGTTAACATACATATGATTATATATATATATATATATATATATATAAGTGATGAGTGAGTTTTACTCGCTCATTTAGGCCCCGTTCTTTTCGCTGATTCGAGTTTAGAATTCGAGTTTTGCTACAGTAAAAAGCTCTCAAAAACAGTTACATCTAACTTTTTTGCTACAATAAAAATCTTTCACACAACATCACATCTCAACTCGAATTAAAAACTCAAATTAACGAACCGCACGGGTACACTTAATATCTAGTTGGTTTTCAAGGTTTTTGTTTGTTTTTATGTGTGTTTTCGTTCTTTGTTTGAAGGTTAGGTGAAAGTCTATGATTTAGAAGGTTTTGGACAAATTTTGGTGGAAAAAGACAGCAAACATAGCGCTTAGGCACCATTCTGTAGCGCCTTGGCGCTGAGTTTTACAGAATCAGCGCAGTAGGGTAGAATGGGTGGCGCTTTGGCGCCAGTCTGTAGCGCCTTGGCGTTGAAATCTGACGGAATCAGTGCAGTGGGGCAGAATGGGCAGCGCTTTGGCGCCCATGACAGCGCCCAAGATTTTTACACAGTAGCGCCGCAGCGCTAGGAACTCAGCGGCGCGGCGCTACGACGCGAGAAAAGACGCGTTTTGAAGGCCAATCGCGAGAAAACTTACATGTTTTAACCCTAATGCTCCGAAACATATAAATAGATGATTCTAGGACAATTAGAAGGGACTTTTGGGACTGGAGAATGACGGCTGACTTTTGAGAGGAGATTCAAGAAGAAAAAAGAGAATTGAGTACGGAGAAGAAGAACGGCAAAAATCTGGAGACGGAGACGTTTCAGTTCAACTCCAAACTAGTTCTTTTCTTTCCCTTCCAATGATTAAGACTTTGTTTAGGAATTTCTTTTGTTTAGAGATGAACTAATTTCTTTTTCTAGGGCTACGATGTAGCCAGATTATAAATGTTCAGATTCTCAATGTTCAGATTCTCAATCTTCTTTTAAATAATTGATGTTTAATCCATATATGCTGAGTATTTTAATTTATTCGTAATGCTTGTGATTATTTTGCCAACTATTACATGATTTTGTATTTGATTTGAGACTGAGAGATGATAATTAAATAAGCTCTTAATTGAATTACCATGAGTTGTTCATAGGATAGAGATATCTATGATGCTTGTGCAGTTCTTTTGAATTTCTTATACTTAATGATTTTCAACAGGTTTAGAAGTCTGACAGAGATGTAGGGCCTGTTTGTTAGCATTTTTGTTTTCATTTCTCACATTTTTCGAAGAAAAAAACTGAAAACAGAAATGAAAAATGTGTTTGGTGGAATTTGTGTTAGAAAATAAAAACAAAAACGTTTTTGTCTTTTTGTGAAAAATTGAAAACGAAAAAAATCCGTTTTCATTTTCAGCTGAAAATGGATTTCAGTTTTTTTTTTCTTTTCTTCTCTCTCTTCTCCAGCCGAAGAAGAGGCGGGAGATCCGGCGAACACCCACCGTCGCTCCTCTCCGACTGGCCCGCCACCATCTTCTCCGACTGCCCGCTACCGTCTTCTCCG